ATCACTCTCAAGGGGCTCATGTCTAGCTAATTATCCCCTTTATTCCCCTCCCACTATCTGTTTCTGACATCACCATCATGGCATTCTAGTAACTTGAATTAGAGGAAAAATGTCTCCCAAGGCAACTTCTGTTAAACACCCAAATTATATTGTTTCAGCAAACTCAACACCAAAGTGCTAACATTTTTCAAAATGCCATTTTCAAACTATTCATCTGTTCTGTGAAAAATGACTGAGTTGTGGCTAACAGGGCTAGACATCAAGTTCTCAGATAAGGTGAATAATGTATTTTCATAATTTTGTTCATGGCATAGCTTCAAGATTTTGAAACTTGCATTATCTAGTCAAGAGTTTATTTATTTTCCCTATTGTAGATGCTTCAATTAATAAAGATATAATGCAATTTTAAATATTAAGTTTCCTTAAGGAAATAAAAGCATATTGCTGATAGCCTACAAGAAGATGTGTGTAAGCAAGTACATATAGCAAAACAGTATGCCTTTACACAACTGAAATGATCCAGTTTTCTTCTGTATGACACAATAATGTCAAGATCAGTGGATTACAAAAAGATTGCCATAGAAGGTTTTTAGTAGTAGTTAGCACTTACAACACAAGGGTTGAACAAAATTAACTAGCTTTTAATTTATTTTGTCAACTGTTACAATTAATGAATATATTTTCAAGTGCTTTTCATGTAGATTCTTCTGATATAGAAAAAGCAGTAACAGACATACTAAGTTTGCTAGAAATGGGGAATAAGACTAGATATTTTCCTGATTAAAAAAAGAATGACTGTGGTAAAAAAAAGAAACATGAATTTGCCATTACTGACTTTAAATAGCTCCAAGGTCTAACTTTGTCTATAATTAGGTTTTATAGTAAGTTCCTTTTCGTGAAACCTCTTTTTCTTAAGAGGAATGAGATCAGATTTTTACAAAGGCAGTAAGAGTATCTGTGACAGATTTATTCAAATGCTCCACTGTTCCACTAAAATGTGCCCTTTTGCCTTCCTACAGCTAGTGCTGAATAACAAAGAGTGGGCATGATTGCTGACTACTACTTGCAATAAGTCATATCTACTGAGAATCAAAATGGAGATAATATATACATTGCATTCATTCATTCACTCATTCACTCATTCATTCATTCCTCAGGGCTTGTGGTAGGTACTGTGGTGGGAGTTGAGGTCAGAATTTATAAGGCACAAATTCATGCTCCACATTTTTAGAGGAGATGAAGCATACACTCAAGTAACTATTAAGTGGTATCAGGAAAGACAAAAAAAAATACTATAATCAAGAGAAGGAATGTGAACAAATCTAGTCCTTAACCCAGTGTATGTATAAAATATAAATGTAAAAAATATTTAAAATGCATCTTTCAGGAGTATCTAAGAGACATTCAAAAACTGACTTGCAGTTGAAAACAACAGTAGAATTTATAAATTCAGTAGTTGTTAAGATGGCCAAGTCAAACTCAACCTTTCAATCATGGTCTTGATTTAATTTAGAATTATGTTTTTCCTTTCTGTCCAACATATTTTCAGGGACAAATTGGGAAAACAGTTGTGACCAGGTTCAGTTACATCAATTTTCTTTTAAGATTAAAAAAGATGTATTGTTTTCAAATATATACTTTTTTTTCCTGATTATAAAAGTATGTTCATTATACAAATCCCAAACCAAAAAAAGGAGGTAAAAAGTTAAATTCATTCCTAGTGCCTCCATCTAGAGATAAAACTGTTAATTTATGTTAATTAGAAAATACATATAATTTAATGAATGTACTATCTTATAATGAGTATTTTACACTTAATTCAAGGGAAAGAAATCTGTTCGTTGGGTACTCATGACCGTGTTCTTGTAAAATCTAACAGATGCATACTTGACATACAATATCACACAAAAATCTGAGCATAATGCCATGAATAAGAAAAGTTATAAACCAAAACTGTTGCACCAGAATGTTGTACAACTGCTAAACTATGAAATTATACCAGAATAAAATAAAATTATGGCCCAGAATACTTTCCCAAATTGCTCAAAACCCTAAAGTAGGAATGTTAATGTATAAAAAGTACGTAATATCCAAAAATGATTACTCTGGACACTGGGCTTTATAGGCAAAGCGATAAACATTACAGAGGATTCCCAGGGTGGTATAGAGCAGAGGTTTCAAACCTGCCCTCTCAGCAGCCGTTCTGTCTCAGTAAATTTTTCATGGTGCTCCAAAGCCAAGAGAAACAGCTAACAATTGTGTTAATTACATAGTTAGAGCCAAACAATTTAAAAAATATATATGTCCTAACAGTTTAGTAGCTATTTTAAAAAATAACACCCAAATATTGAAATAAATGTTTTTATTTCATTCTTAAATAACCACAGTTACCTACTAATGGGATGTGTGCATCTGATGGGCACTGTACAACTTCTCAGATCTTAGAATCAGATTGACACCACCACTCTCATTTCCTGTTCCACGTTGATTTTTGGCAGTATTTGCTTTTTATCACAGCAACTGCAGAAAACCTAACTTTGCCAAGACATCATCAAAAATAACGTAGCAGGATCCATGCTGAAAGTGGAAACTGCCTGGAACTAGAGGCTCGCACCGTGTCTGGCAGATGTGGAATATCCGTTTCCTTTGGAAATTTAAAATAGCCCGTGTTGCCTTGTGAGTTTGCTGTGCACTCCAGGGCAGCTCGCTTGGCACAGTTTGGTAATCATGGCTATAGGACAACTGTATCCTGTTGCCCTATTATTACCATGAAAGGGTAGGAACTCCCAAATAAATGAGTGCATTGGAAGGACTTGTCCCCCTCCCCCTTACATCTCAAGTGTTGGTCCTTTTATTACAGACAGTATAAGTCCAAATTGGGATGTGTAGTATTCCCTAATTATCTGTAGACAAGGAACCCTCCTCTCATGGAGTCCCAGGGAACATGCAGGCCCCTGGATAATAGGTGGCTACAGAGCCACTTTCAGACTATTCACTCCTACCCATATAAGTGCTTGGTATAACAAATAACCCTATAATCCTACAATCTACCTTCATAGCAAATAATCCTAGAATTAAACACATAATCCAACAGGTGGCTGAATATTAATTGCAAATGAAGTAAAAAATATGGTAGTCCCCCCTTATCGGTGGGTTTGCTTTCTGCAGTTTCAGTTACCTGAGCTCAACCTTAGTCTGAAATTATTAAATGAAAATTCCAGATATAAGTAATTTGTAAGTTTTAAATTGCACACTTTTCTGAGTAGGGTGATGAAATCTCTCATTGTCACCTTCCCGAACTCCATCCGGGTTGGGACATGAATCATCATTGTCCGCACATCCACGATGTATACAATGTATATGCTACCTGCCCGGTACTCACTGAGGTGTCTCTGTTATCAGATCAACTGTCATGGTAGCTCAGGGATTGTGCCAGTAACCCTTATTTTACTTATTAATGGTCCAAAAGTACAAAAGATGCTGGCAATTAGAATATGCCAAACAGAAGCCATAAAGAGTTTTCTTTAAGTGAAAAGGTATTTACGTATAGGAAAAAAACATAGTATATTTAGGGTTTAGTATTCTCTGGACTTTCAGGCATTCACTGGGAGTCTTGGAACATATCCCCCATGGATAAGAGAGACTAGTGTATGAATCTTAATCTTTTGTTAAAGTGAAAAAAAAGGAACAGAATCCCTTGATTTATAAAATAATTTGTCATAGTAATTTTTAAAAATGTTTTAATTCAGAGAGGAAGGGAAGGGAGAGATAGAAACATCAATGATGAGAGAGAATCACTGATCAGCTGCCTCCTGCATACCCCCACTAGGGATCGAGCCCTCAACCTGGGCATGTGCCCTTACTAGGAATCAAACTGTGACCTTTGGTTGAAGGTCATAGGTTGAAGCTCAACCATGGAGCCACACTGGCTGGGCTGTCATAGTAATTTTACAAAGATCCTGTGGTAGGCAGAACAATGTCCCCCTAATCCTAACCCAAAATATATTTATGTCTTAATCCCTGGAATCCATGAACATGTTATCTTTGGAATTAAGTTTACTAATCAGCTGACTTTAAAATTGGGAGACTATCCTAGATTATCTGGATGGGCTCAATGCAATCACAAGGATCCTTAAAAGTGGAAGAGGGAGACCGAAGGTGAGAGTTCAGAGGAAGAGAGGCACAGATGATACAACGTGAGGAGGATGTAACAGGCTGTCCTGGGCTTTAAAGATGGAGGAAGGGAGCCACAAGCCAAGGAATGTGATAGAAAAGGCAAGGAAACAGTTCTTCCTGAGTCGGCCCACACTTTCATTTTAGCCTAGGCCCTAGGGAGATCCAAGCTGGACTTCTAACGTACAGAAATGTAAGATAAATTTGTGTTGGTTTAAGCTACTACCTTTGTGGTAACTTATTACAACAGCCACAGAAAACTAATACAGACCCCCAATGATACTAATAACAACAATAAAAACAACAACTATAAATGTTTCAGGTCAATTGGATGAGCTAAGTAAGCTGCCTCTAATATACTTCCAACAGATATTTCCAGTAAGTTTTGTTTTGTATTGATGATGTAATTATACTAACTATAAAATATTGTTGCTGGTTCAAAGGATTTTACTAAAGTGTACTACAAACATCATAGCTTTTTGCCTTTGTTCATTTTCTTTACTGTTCTATAATGATGTAATGGCTATAAAGAAGATAAAAATCTTTGTATTATGCACTGATATGAATGTTAAAAGCATATAAGCTTATGTTATATAGCTTGGGTTAAAGATAATACTTCTTTTTCATATGTAAAATACCAGTGAAAATATTATATTTTTAGTTATTTATTGAGCTTTTTTTTAGATGGGATAATGGTTTGATGGCTGGCAAGGGACCTTTTTGTATATTTAACAATTACTTATAGAAAGCAAGAAAAAGTCCTACTGTCAAAATATACATATTTTGAACTACAAATATTTATTCAAAGTTCAAAAGTCAGTGTTTACCTGTGGTTAAAGGCAGGTGTGTGATGCTGTTCAAACAGGTGAGGGTGAACCACGTGGATGATAATGTAGCCCCAGAAAACAGGAGGAGAAGAATTAATTTCAGCATACCCCTGATAAAATCTGCAAACCTAAAAAAAGAAACAACAGTCTATTAATCCTAGCTGAATTTTAAAAATACTGTTTAAATCAATGATACACTTTCATTTAACACGTTAAGCGCCCAGCCTTTTTTGTCTTTGGGACAGAAAATGTAGCATCAGTCACGGTGACTGACAGAGCACTTAATGTGTTAAGGACTAGAGGCCCAGTGCATGAAATTCGTGCACAGGTAGGGTCCCTAGGCCTGGCCGGTGATCAGGGCCAATCGGGCCTTCCTTCAGCTGGGGCCTTCCTTCCCATGGCTGCCTGCTGCTGGCTAGGGCCTTCCTTCACTCCGCACTGCCCCCTGGTGGTCAGTGCACATCATAGTGAGGGATTGAACTCCTGGTCTCCCAGTCAAACTCCCGAGGGGACACTTTACATATTAGCCTTTTACATATATAGAAGAAGATAGATAATTTCTTAAAGAAATTTCCATACATTCTTTTAAAAGCAAGTTTTAAATTTTTTTAACTGATACATTGTGTGTGTGTGCGCGCGCATGAGCGTAAGTGATAAATGTTACTTTGTGATAAATGATTTTTTTCTCTTACGATACACACAAAAGTTGATCTCTGTTCAGGATCTATAACTTACAGGATGGATTCTGAGCTTTTCAATACCACTTTTACTTTCTTTGTATTTTTTCTATAATTGCTAAATATCCTCTAATGAGAACATATTGTTCTAGTTTTAGAAAACAGGCTAATTGTTGACATAAACTTGCAGAGATGGCTCTCCTAAAATTCAGACTCAGAGAACCAATTCTAATGCTTACACTAGAGTCTTTGTGGTCCTATATGACCTGGTCTCTGCCTCCACCCTCCATTTGCTTTACTATGATCCAGCTGAACAGCCCTGTTTCTCTCATACATGCAATGTTGTTTCCCCAGCAGTGACCTGTCCTGTCTGCCTGGAATGCTGGTACCCCCGTTCTTCACATGAGTTACTCCTGCTTCTTCCTCAGGTCATTCAGGTGTCAGTTCAACAAGGCTCATTTAAGAGCCTTGCCACTTCTTTATTTTCTTCATATCATTTACCTCTATTTTAATTCCTCCTGTTTTTGCATTTGTTTTCTGTCTTTCCTATCAGACTGTAAGCTTTGTGAGAGCAAGAACATGGCTCTGGAACAGTGAATACTACTTTTTAAACCTTGTGACTACTGTTTCCTAGCATTTTAAGTTCTTAAAATCCCTGCTTTTCCCTCTGAATTAACGTGAAACTAAAAGGCATCTGGTAGAGATGCTTATCATTTAGTTATGACCAAAACCTTTTCCATTTGTTAATTGCTTTTCCTCATCTGCTGATTAACTGTTGACTGTACAGGCGCAATCCTCTGGCTGAGCCAACATACAACTTTCTCTGTCCTTCAGAATTGTTTCCATTGCAGAAAAACAGATCCCATCCCAAATCTGGCATTTACCATGTTTTCTCTTTGAAGCTTTAAAAATAAATTTAGTTTCTGTTGTAATTATTTGTCTGTCCCTAACAACACACTTTCAATACTATCTTTTGTATTGCACTTACTTGGCATGATATGGTTAATCATGTTTGTGAGCATTATCTAGACTAAAATGACTTCCTCTGAGAGCTGATGCCATCTTTTGGTAGGAAAAATGACTGCACCTTTGCCCAGTGACAGGTTTGTTCTCAACTATGAAAGTTCACAGACAGAAAATTTTGAACCTTTTCTAGAGGTTCCACAGCTTGATAGAAATGTCCCTCAAGAAAATCTAAAAATCACACGTTTCTGGTATATATTTTTGGTATGCTTCCTGAACATACTTATCAGATAGGCAGGTGGCCAGGTCTGAGAGAATAGAAGAGTTTTCTGGTACAACCAGAGCTGAGTGAAGTTGAACTGGGAGACAGTTTCACAGGGCCAGATGACCCAAGAATAAACTGACCACTGGGATCTGCTCTTTTTGGAGGCCTAGACCTTTCAAATGGGCTAATACTATCAAAGTATACTGCTAGGACCAAAGCAGTACATTTATAGTGGCCTTTGCCAACATAATTATAAAATAATCATCCAAAGCACTCATGTCTACAAGGAGACTGCAATCTAGGGGTCCCAAAAATTGGTGTTATAAATGTAGTTTTAAATTTTATTTAAGGTCTAGGACAGTGATGGCGAACCTTTTGAGCTCGGCATGTCAGCATTTTGAAAAACCCTAACTTAACTCTGGTGCCGTGTCACATATAGAAATTTTTTGATATTTGCAACCGTAGTAAAACAAAGATTTATATTTTTGATATTTATTTTATATATTTAAATGCCATTTAACAAAGAAAAATCAACCAAAAAAATGAGTTCGCGTGTCACCTCTGACACGCGTGTCATAGGTTCGCCATCACTGGTCTAGGAGATACCTATAATTGATTTCAGATCCCAGAGTAAAGGTAGTACTTTATAGAACTTCCATTTCAACATATTAAAAACAAAAATGTTCTCATTCTAATTTTCTCCTCTAATTCTATTTCTATAGAGTTAAAATGATTTCAGTTTATGGAAAGAAAATGAAGAGAAAGGAGAATGTGAGATGTCATTTTTGATAATGGTTTCCTCTAATCTATTTGGTGCTCAGAATAGAATTTGGTAAATGATGACTCACTCTAATTGGCTTGGAGATTTAATTAGAATAATTAGGTATGATTTTTGTCAAATGTGATAGGTAAATGCATTTCAGTATCAATGTAGTGGTTTGCTACAAATAGCTATCTTTTAGATTTTATTCTTGATTTTCTTAACTTATAAAAACCTCATAAAGTGGTTTAGAAATTAGTGTCAATTTATTCTTTCACTATCCAAGAAACACTTTGCAAACTTTAAGATCTAGATAGTCTTAGCCGGTTTGGCTCAGTGGATAGACCACCAGCCTGCAGACCAAAGGGTTCCAGGTTCAGTTCTGGTCAAGGGCACATACTTTGGTTGTAGGCTCCTCCTTGGCCTGGGCCCTGGTTGGGGTTCATGCAGGAGGCAACCAATCGATGTGTTTCTCTCACATCGATGTTTTTCTCTGTCTTTCCCTCTCTTTTCCACTCTCCTTAATAATCAATGGAAAAATCTCCTCTAGTGAGAATTAACAAACAAACAAAAGATTTAGATATAATATTATCCTGTGTCAATTATGCTTAAGTGTTTAGATATTGAGGTGATTTACCCATCTTATTTATCTCCCCAAATATGTAATTAGATTCTTCCTTTCCTGGTAAAGTTGATTGCCTAATTTTGTTTCTGATTAAATAGGGTAAAATTATTTGGGAAATGAATGAATATTATCTCTTTGGAAAGACCAAGAGTAGCTTTATAGGCAGTCACATACATGAGTGACACTGTCATTCTTTCCTTTTTTTAGAATAAATGAAACTTTTTCCCTCTCCTGACTCATTCTAAAAATGTGTTGTCGTAATGTGTTAAGATCATAGGCAGTTTGATGAAACTGGAAGTCTTTATGAACATTTTTAATCAAAATAGAATAACCATTGAGATACATGCCAAAAAAACCCAGAAGTCAATATATGCTAATCAGGACAGTACCTTTCATGGAAATTTCTAGACATGCTCTTACAAATGACTGTTTTCAATTCTTTTCTATTCTCGATAACTATCAATTTGCCTCTATTACACTATCACCTTTCTTTGAGTTCCATTTGTAGATGTTGTTCTCTAATAATATGAAAAGAGGCAGCTCAATTACACTGGAAATACATCTCTAGTCTACAAAAACATTTCAGGACGGACCACTCTTGAGGTTTCTTCTAGCAGCACATTCTCCCTACTGTATGTCGATTTTCTTGTAGCCCTCTTCTCTGACCTTTGCCTATTTTACTTTTCCTTAAATTTTAATTTTTATTTAGGGGAGCTGATTATTTCTTTGGGCTCTTTGTTTGTTTCTGGCTACTCACATGTTTAACATAAAATGTTCTTACCTTGCCATAGCTATTCCAACAACACAGCCCCCAACTATGGACCAAAATCCAATCCAGCCAGCATCTACCTGTCAAGAAAATGGCAGACACATTAAACATAAGATTGTCATGTTGCAATTTAGAAGGCTTGAAAAAAGTCCTCTATAATCAATATTAATAGCTACATGACAACAAATCTAGGGAATGCCATTTAAGAAAATGAATCAAATGAAAGGATTTATGTGTAACTAAGTAATACAAATGTATCTCAGTAAATATGTCTTCCATTAACTTATCAGTGTCACACCATATAGTTAATGTCACAACAAATTTTTTAAAATATATCCTACATGCCTAGCTTTATAATAGGAACTCTTAAGAAAACAGGAAAAGGACAAAAGATGGTCACTGACAGAAAAAAAGTTTAAAAATAGCCAACATGCCCTAACCGGTTTGGCTCAGTGGATAGAGCGTAAGCCTGCAGACGAAAGGGTCCCAGGTTTGATTCCAGTTAAGGGCATGTACCTTGGTTGAGGGCACATCCCCAGTCGGGGGTGTGCAGGAAGCAGCTGATCCGTGTTTCTCTCTCATTGATGTTTCTAACTCTATCCCTCTCCCTTTCTCTCTGTAAAAAAATCAATAAAATATATTTTTAAAAATAGCCAACATACAGGCAACTACTAGGAAATAATTAAGTGTTAAACACCTAGCAACAACTAAAAATGTATTAACAGAACACAAAAGGGGGGGACAATGTAGGTTTGAGGGTTGAGTATCTGGGGAGACTGGATAGAGCAAGAGAATTTGGGGGGACAATGTAGGTTTGAGGGTTGAGTACCTGGGGAGACTGGATAGAGCAAGAGAATTTGAGCTGAGTTTCAATGTGACCCTGGGAAAAATTATATTACATCTTCTTACCTATAAAATAGACTAAATGAGATAATTTATGTATAGGTCTTAGATCATTACCTATAAAATAGACTAAATGAGATAATTTATGTATAGGTCTTAGATCAGTGGTTGGCACAGAGGAAATGCTCAATGAAGGTTAGAGCTGTCATCATTACCTGATGATGCTTCTCCATCTACCTGATGTCTTAATCGCTTTCCTACCTTCACGGCCAAACTTATTCAGAGCAATCTACAAATGCTGCCTTTATTTGCTCATCATGCCTGTATCTTTAACTCTTATTATGACTTGGCTTCTGTCTCAACTCACACTCTAAGTTTCAGCTTTCTCACTAGTAGGTGGGGATGATAAAGAATTTTTTTGAGAATTAAATAAGCTAATAAATGTAAAGTGCTTGGTACATGTTAGTTGTTGTTACACTGAAATCCCTGTGTCTCTAACAATACAGATGCAGTCTGTCTCCTCTTTCCCCTTCCCACGTCCACCACACTTGCTTATCTCCTACTCTAGACTCCGGCCATACATCTGGAATGGTCTCCACAATCTATTCCTCCCATCCTGCCAGAACAATTATCCCGATCATTCCCCTTTGTTTCTCAGAAACAGTTCCTGGCTTTCCTTGTGGCTACTGGGAGAAGTCCAAATCTAACCAGCATTCGAGAGCTGCCCAAACTAACTTGTACCTTTTATTTTTTCTAGTCATATTTTTCATTACACCTGTGTCAGAAATGTTCAGCTGTCCACCAAAACATATTATTTTCTTCTGCCTGGGCATTTGGCTAGATTATACGTCCCAACCCCCATTCATTTCCATGTGACCACGTGACTAAGTTCTCATTAATGGAAGTGGCCAGACTGAGGGGTGCCATCTCTGGGCTAGAACCTGGAACACAGTTATATGCCTCCTCCATGCTTTCTTTCACTTCTGCCAGCTGGAATCCAGATGTGGTCACCCAGCTTCACCCATGACTATAAAGACACGGTCTTAGGAGACAAAGAGCTGCAAAGTGGAAGCAACCCAGGTCTCTAAATAAGAGTGAGAAAAAGACCTGTCCAAACTGTAGACAACTGTCCTACATTACCAGGCAAGCTGTCCTAGATTGCTATGCGAATGACAAATGGATTTCTTCTTAAGTCTCAGAATTTTGGGATTCTGCTGCAAGTAATACAATACTTTTACACAAGTCCTTTGTTGTGCCAGTGTTTGGTGCCAAAACAAAGATAAAAGAGAACACTCTGAAGCTTAAATTGTCTCTACATTTTTTTATACTATTGGTTTTTGGAGCAAGAGAATTCTCTGTTCTGCAGAATTGCCCCTCTCATTGCATCCGTCATCTAAGGCCCAGATAATGCTATCAGGCTCCCACTAACATTTCCATCTGTCCCCTAGGCGAGTGGGGTCCTGTACCAGGGCAAGAACCACCATGCTACTGACCATACTGACCCTGGTCCTGTCAGGCTTTTGTGCTTTTCTGCTTCCTTTGCTCATGATAATTACTTTATTTAATAACATTCTACAAAATAATTAAAATATTTTCTTTGTTTTGATCTGTTGCTTTCATTTAATTTTAAATTTCGCTTTACTTAATACCTGGTGTGATTTATGGTCTCTATACCTCTCAGAGTTTGTACAGAGGCAGATACTTGGAAGGATTTATAAGTTGAAGCATAAGATGTTGCAAAATCAGTCCTTGCCTGTTTAGCTCAATATTTAGAATGTGAGCCCTGAAGGGTCGCAGGATCAATTCCTGGTCAAGGAAACTCACCCTCCCTGCCTAGTTGGGGTGTGTGCAGGAGGCAACCAATCCATCTATCTCTTTCACATCGAAGTTTCTCTCTGTCTCTACCCCTCCTCCCTTCCACTCTCTACAACTCAATGGAAAAATATCCCCTAGTGAAGATAAAAATGAAAAAGGATTTGCAGAATCAGAATCATTTAAATGAGCGCTACACTTTTCCTTCTTGAAAGTGAACATGCTTGAAATACCTGCCATCCAGAAAACATGTTAGGAAATTAAGGCTTACTTCTTATGGTGAAGGTATACTAAGTAATCTGGATTAATATTCTGGTTGAGAACTAGGAAATCTATCTGA